CTTTCTGCTGGTGCGCAGATTTCATCCCCGGGAGGTCCGGGAGATGAGTCTGCTCAGCATGTCGCCATAAACCGGAAGCCCCAGGCCTATTTTATCATTTGAGGAAGGATTTACTGGGGCCAGGCCTAAGTCCTAGGGCTGCCAGCTCCAGGTTGGGAAATTCCTGGAGATTTTGTGATGAAGTCTGAGGAGGGCAGGGTTTTTGGAGGGGGAAAACCCCAGCATTGTATAATGTCAAAGAGTCTACCCTCCAAAGCAGCCACTTTCCCTAGGGGGATAGATGTCTGGAGTTCAGTTGTAATTCTGGGAGATCTCCAGGTCCCACCTGGAAGCTGGCAACCCTAGGCCTCGCAACAACCTCTGTGTGACTAGCAACAACCTGGCAACAACCTTTGGGTGACTTGATACCACCTGACTTGCATGACTCAAGTAGGCCTGTCTGCCTGCTACTCTACAACAGCAGCCATCATATGAAACTCAGTGCCATATAGAAGATATAGGTTCAGAGTAGGGTCTGTGAGACCCAGATTCAGATCCCCATCTTACTATCGAAGCTAACTGGGTGATTTTGGACCAGTCGGCCTAATGTACCTCACAGGGTTGTTGTGCAGTTAAAAAGGAAGAGAGGAGAATAATGTGAGCTGCTGTGGTCCCCACTGTAGAAAATAGTTTTTTTAGGTAGAGGCTGCAGAGAAGGAGGCAATGGAAAGTTGAGGAAAGAGAGACAGATAAAGGTGGTTTTGTTAATGTGCAGGAAGGAGATAGAGGTTGCCAACTCCAGGTTGGGAATTTCCTAGAGATTTCAGGGGTGGCACCTGGGGAGGGTGGAGTTTGAGGAGGGAAGGGACCTCAGACAGGTAAAATGCCATAGACTCCACCCTCCAAAGCAGCCATTTGCTCCATGTCGGCATCTGAGAATTGAGTGCCAGGCAAGATGACAGCTAGTCAAAGAGATCAGCATGATCTAATCTGACAGTTACATGGTCACATGATGTAATGGTTGCATCAGCCCGCTGAGGGAGTCACTATGACTCAGCATCTGCTCAGTGATTGGCTGTGTGTATGTATATATTCTGTACAGTTCTTACAGTCTGAAGCCTGTGTGGTTACTTGGTGCCTGGTGAAGCACTTTGTTGGAGTGTATGTCGACAGTGTATATAGTGTAAATATACTATTTATATACAACAGCAGTGTGCGTAGCACTTCTTCTTTTTTAAAAAACCCCGAGAGGGTATTTTTATTATTTTTCATAAGACTATTAACTACAACGAAAAATATAGGAGGGGGGACTACAACTAAGGATAAAGGAAAGATACCCACACTAACTAAAAACCCAAGAGTAGGAGATCCTTTCCATGTTAATCTAAGTGTTAGTGATACAATATACTTGTGAAGTTCCTGTTTAACACAGCTTCTGTATTAGTGAGTTAATCTTTGTGAGAGTACTTCTTGAGCATCTTCTTTACTTCAAAGAGCAATTTACAGAGTCCTTCTGCCCTTACTTCGGTTTTTTATCCCTAAAGTCATACACAGTTTTTGTTGCTCCTGCCCCCGCTTCCCCCACAGAGTCCTCGTCAGTTCCCAAAGTAGCAGAGTCACTTGACTTGGTTTCTTCATCTTTAAGTTCTTCCTCCAGCCCAAGCTGATGTCTCAAAAATTCCTTAGCTTTAAAGATGGAGTCAATCTTCTCTCTTTTATCGTTGATTTTAAAAATGGCACCTTCAGGAATTGCCCACTGATACTGAATTCCATTGGTTTGAAGAAATGAGATGAGCTCCTTGTAGCTTTTCCTCTTTTGACGAATTTCAAATGGAATATCTTTTAAAGTTACCATCTGGATGATTTTTATAGGGCACAGGTAAAAAAAGTAGTTCCACAGTTGGAATAAAGTTTGTTTCTAAATAGCTAACTTAGAGTGGGGAGCAGGCAGTGTGGAAGAAGATGCATTTTGGTCAGAAATCTCCAGCCATCTGCTGGAAAAGAGTTGTAGAGCAACACAAGTGTCTGTAGCTTGGTCTTTGCCATTTTAAAAAGCAAAGGTATAAAAAACTGGGAAATATATAAACACTTTCTAAAATAATTTTGAAACAAAAATTAATGAATGGGGGGTCAGTGGGTGGGTGAACAGGTGAATGAGTGGGCAGGGTGAGCAGGCAGGTGAGTGATTTATTATTATTCTCATTTGTGTGTAACACCGCAGTTGGCAAGAATTAACATGCTATCGCATAAACATGCAGTGATTTACAAACTGTGTAATGTAGAGTAGTTTTGGTTTAGTGTGGCCAGTTGCTGGTTAATACCATCGAGTTGCTCCATTACCGGCTTCAGCATATCTGCTAGGAACTTCATGACGTCTGCTCCCTCTTCCGGTCTTGGGCTCTGACTGCCGGGTTTCGGTTTTAACTTTCCTTGGGAAGCTGCCATGTTCCACTTTGTTTACACTTTCAAACCACTATGCCAGGGCTCGAAAGACTCGTCGTTTCACTATTGGTACTCAAGTAAGTCTCTCAGAAATAACTCGCTATTTATTTTCCCCCTTCACTACATTAGTCCGTTCATGCGCTTAGGAGGTGTCCCTCCTTGCGTGCCACTTTTCCCATGGGGGGGGGGTTACTCCGTTTTAGCAAAATAGTCAGTTTATTTCGAACTCACGTTCATTGATGGTCATATTCTGACCTCACTTTCTTCATCGTTGTTCCGCTCAATCTCCTGTGCTTGTCCCAGTCGAATTAGCTTATACCCGCAGGTCACTCAACGGCAGGACCACCAGGGTGGAGGGAAGCCTCTATTCTCTGGCATCAAGCCGTCGAAGAGGGTAACCCTCAAAAGCCCTCTGACCTGGAACCCATCGTAAGGGCTCTGTGGGGGTACCACTTGAGGTAGCACCCCTCCTTGCCGCTGGTGTGCTAGTCGCCTCCCCAGACATTGGGGAGAGCGACCGCCATCACCAACCCACAAACCGGAAGTCTCCGTAGCACTTCTTTACTGCAAACACCGTCACTCCAGGGGAACAAATGTTGCCAACCTTCAGGTGAGGGCTGGAGATCACCCAGAATTACAACTGCTCCCCAGATGACAGAGATCAGTGCCCCTGGAGAAAATGGCTGCTTTGAAGGCTGAGTTCTACGGTATTATACCCTGCTGAGGTCACTTCCCTCCTCAAACCTCACCCTCCCAAGGCTCCAAATCTCCATGAATTTCCCAACACGGAGGTGGCAACCCTAAGGGGAACTGATCTCTGTAGTTGGGAGATCTGTTGTAATTCCTGGAGAGCCGCTACCCCCACTGCTGCTCTGTGGTGGTGGGGGGAAGGGGGGCAGCTGGGAGAGTGATGGGGGCAGAAACAGAGAGGATGTGACAGTCATGGAGGAGAGAAAAAGAATAAGAGGTGGTAGTGGAAGGGAGAAAGGAGAAGTAGGAGGAGAGGGGAGGAAGCAAAGATGGGGGGGGAATGGAACAGCTGGTCCTGCAAGTTTCTTGTAGGTCCCTGCTTGTATAACTTAATGCTTATGACCACAAACAAGGTATCTTTTATAGTCTGCTGCTATGATAGGCATTTCTGGATGAATGCTGGTTAGAATCACCACTAGAAATTGCATCTTATTTGGTGCTCCTTTCTGCTTTAGTTTTGTCCCTTTTCCTTTACCATACAGCTGCTCTGTTTCACCCCACCTCCAGGTAAGTGTTCTGAACCAGAAGCAAAGACTGGTAGTATTGGGTAGATCGTGAATAAAGGCCATTCAGATGATTAAGTAGAAAAGCCACTGTGGTGACTCGCTAGCGTCTAGCCAGAGATAAAACCATAATGTATAAATTACACCAACTATTTTGTTATATGATGAGTGATGGAGATGTTTTCCCCACAACTTTTCTTTTTACAATTTCCTGTAAATTCATAAAGTATCAGCAGTTTGAAGAGATATGTTTGCAAGTACAGGTTTAGTTTTAGATGAAAAAATTGAAATGAAAAATTGAAAGCATCAAAAATTGAATGTAAATAGATAAATCCATTTTTGAAACAATTTTTTTATCCATCCACTTAATTTTATGTTAGATTATGGATTTGGGGGTGGGGGGGAAAACACGGAGCACACAGCAAAAGTAAGAATGAAGAAAACAGAATGAAAAATTATTCCACAGTACTAACAAAAAGACAGACTTCTTAATATTAAATACCCCTACAATTCTAAAAAGCAGTCGGATTCCAATAGTTCATAATGAGATTTTAATAAGAATTCAAAGTAGTTCTGTGGTTATCTAGAAAAAGAAAATGATTACCCAGAAATGTGCCTTAAAGTTCACATCCAATGTTTCATCCATTTTACTGTCTGGAATATCAAGGAAATTCTTTCCAATTAAAACACCTGCATTGTTGACTAGAATATTAACATCTCCAACTTCTTTTTTAACCTAAAACAAAATCAAACAAATGAAATGTGGAAGATCACATTCTTTTAAGATTTCTGTGATTTAATTTACAATTGTTTTTTTCCCCCACTTACAAATGTTATCAGTGTTCTGTGCTAGTTTGGGGAATCTACTCCTTTTGTTATTTGGGGAATCTACTCCTTTTGTTAATGATTTACTAATGATCTTTCATTAAGGATTTACTAGACTTTTAGGAAAAGGTAACTCATTATGGAACACCAACTTATCTCCATTTTCTAATCTCAAAGACCTCTGCTCCATAGTAAGTTTTACGGTTCTAATTATTTCCCGTATTTTCATCAACCAGTCCTTTTTTTCCTGGGACATATTCAGATTTCTAGAAATATGGGTAGATAATTCTAGTTATAGTCACCATATTTAGCATTATTTGTTCACATGAGCATTCTACCATCCCTACATAATTTAACAGAAAACCTTAATTGTAATTAGGGTTGTCAGCCTCCATGTGGGGTCTGGAGAGTTCCTGGAATTACAACTGATCTCCAGACTACAGAGATCAGTTGTCTGGATAAGATGGTTGCTGGATAAAATGGCATTATACCCTGACTAGGAGTAAGACTCGTTGTGGGAAGAAATACAATGAGCTCTAGAAGGAAGCTCCAAGTGAGTGTCCCAGCTGTGGCTGGTGGGTTGGCAGAGGGAAGGGGAAAATAGAGGGAGGCAAGCCATGTTTATTTCCTTCTGCTTAGCTATAAGGCAGGGCTGTCTCAATTCATATTGCTGCCCAAGTGGGTAGTATGGGAGCACAGCCTCATGGTAACAGGTATGGTTCCCTCCACTCCAGACTTATGTTGATTTGAGGTTTTACAGTGGCAGCTAAGGTAGAAAAGCACCTCGTCCTATGCCATGTCTTCTGGGTTCCAAGGGTCTGGAAAGTGGTTCTATAGCCAGTTACAGGGCTGCCAACTCTGGGTTGGGAAATACATGTAGATTTGAGGAGTAGAGCCTGGCAACGTTCCCTCTAAGCTGTGGAGTCTTGTGAGCAGAAATTCTACTTTGTGAGCTACTGGCATTAAAGTTGTGAGCGAGCGATTTGGCTGCTGCATAAATTGGTTTGCTCTGGAGCCATCCTTCCTGAGCTAAGACAAAAAGGTGTGAGCTGGGGGCTAAAAAACTGTGAGCTAGCTCACACTAACTCAGCTTAGAGGGAACACTGGAGCCTGGGGAGGGCAGGGTTTGGGGTGCAGAGGGACCTCAGCAGGGTATAATTCCATGGAGTCCATTGCCCAAAGCAGCCATTTTCTCTAGGGTAACTGATCTTGGAGATCTCCAGGTGCTGCCTGAATGCTGGCAATACTAAGGGGAGGGCCAGACCTGTAGATTTGAGGGGTAGAGCCTGGGGAGGGCAGGGTTTGGGGTGTGGAGGTACTTCAGCAGCGTATAATGTCATAGAGTCCACTGCCCAAAGCAGCCACTGTAATAGATGGGAAATTTTCTGTAGGGGAAATGATGTGCTGTGGCTGGGGAACACAGTGATTTCTGGGAAATCTCCAGGCCCCACAGGGAGATTGGCAACTCCAGTGACCATTTAAGGAAAGATTGGGATATGTATTTTGACAACTCCAGTGACCGTTTAAGGGAAGATTGGGATATGTATTTTACCTCAGGACACATTCAATGACTCCTAACAGCAACGGCAAAGTGTTTAGAGGAGATCTGGGAAATTACAGGCCAGTCAGTCTGACTTCGACACCGGGTAAGTTGGTGGAAACTATTATTAAGGAAATAATTAATAGGCACATATGACACTGTCTAACCATCTCATCCTTTGCCGTCCCCGTCTTCTTTGACCTTCAATCTTTCCCAGCATCAGGGTCTTCTCCAGTGAGTGCTCCCTTCTCATTTGGTGGCCAAAGTATTTGAGCTTCAGTTTCATTATCTGGCCTTCCAGGGAACAGTCAGGGTTGATTTCTTTGAGGATTGACTGATTTGTTCTTCTTGCAGTCCAAGGGACTCTCAAGAGTCTTCTCCAGCACCATAGTTCAAAAGAATCTATTCTTCGGCGCTCGGCCTTCCTTATAGTCCAACTCTCGCAGCCATACATGACTACTGGGAATACCATTGCTTTGACCATGCGGACTTTTGTTGGCAGGGTGATGTCTCTACTTTTTATCATGCTGTTTAGGTTCGCCATCGCTTTCCTCCCAAGGAGCAGGCGTCTTTTAATTTCATGGCTGCAGTCACAGTCTGCGGTGATCTGGGATCCCAGGAACGTGAAGTCTGTCACTACTTCCACGACTTCCCCTTCTATTTGCCAAGGAGTGATGGGGCCGGATGCCATGATCTTAGTTTTTTTGATGTTGAGCTTCAAGCCCACTTTTGCGCTCTCCTCTTTTACTCTGAGCAAGAGGCTCTTTAGATCCTTTTCACTTTCAGCCATTAGAGTGGTATCATCTGCATATCTGAGGTTGTTGATCTTTTCCCCAGCAATCTTAATTCCCGCTTGTGATTCATCCAGGCCAGCATTTCGCATGATGTACTCTGCATATATATTAAATAAGCAAGGTGACAATATACATCCTTGTCGTACTCCTTTTCCTATGCTGAACCAATCAGTTGTTCCATATCCGGTTCTAACTGTCGCTTCTTGGCCCTTATACAGGTTTCTCAAGAGACATGTGAGGTGGTCTGGTACTCCCATCTCTTTAAGGACCTGCCATAGTTTGTTGTGATCCACACAGTCAAAGGCTTTAGCATAGTCAATGAAGCAGAAGTAGATATTTTTCTGGTACTCTCTTGCTTTCTCCATAATCCAGCGAATGTTGGCAATATGATCTCTCGTTCCTCTACCTCTTCGAAACCCAGCTTGTACTTCTGGTAGTTCTCTATCCACGTACTGTTGAAGCCTAGCTTGTAGGATCTTGAGCATGACCTTGCTAGCGTGTGATATGAGTGCAATTGTGCGATAGTTTGAACATTCTTTGGCATTGCCCTTCTTTGGGATTGGAATGTATACTGACCTTTTCCAATCCTGTGGCCACTGTTGCGTTTTCCAAATTTGCTGGCAAATTGAGTGCAGCACTTTAACAGCATCATCTTTTAAGACTTTGAATAGCTCAGCTGGAATACCATCACCTCCACTAGCTTTGTTGTTAGTAATGCTTTCTAAGGCCCATTTAACTTCACATTCCAGGATGTCTGGCTCGAGGTCAGTGATTATACCGTCGTGGTTGTCAAGGACATCGAGGTCTTTCTTGTATAGTTCTTCTGTGTATTCTTGCCATCTTTTCCTAATCTCTTCTGCTTCTGTTAGGTCCCTACCGTTTTTGTCTTTTATCATGGCCATCTTTGCATGGAACGCTCCCTTGATTTCTCCAATTTTCTTGAAGAGATCTCTAGTCCTTCCCATTCTATTGTTTTCCTCTATTACTTTGCACTGTTCATTCAGGAAGGCCTCCTTATCTCTCCTTGCTGTTCTCTGGAAATCTGCGTTCAGTTGGGTAAATCTTTCCTTTTCGCCTTTGCCTTTCGCTTTCCTTCTTTCCTCTGCTATTTGTAAAGCCTCATCAGAAAGCCACTTTGCTTTCTTGCATTTCTTTTTCTTTGGGATGGTGGTGATTGCTGCCTCCTGTACAATGTCACGAACCTCCGTCCATAGTTCTTCAGGCACTCTATCTATCAAATCTAGACCCTTGAATCTATTCTTCACCTCTTGAATCTATTCTTCACCTCTTGTAGCCTAGCAGAATGTTAAAAAGTAGTTTTCTCAATAAAAATGTTAGCTAGATAATAGTTTGCCAAACCTTTTCAGCACTTTGCGATGGAAGTTCTCTCCCCCCCACCCCCCATCAGCAAAGCAGCCCTACAGGTTAACAGGCGCCTTAAAGGTATACATGTGCCTCCAACCTAAACAGCAAGCGCAGCTGAGCGCCGCTCACCAAACGAGGGGGAATTAGCCGCTTCGCGCTCCTTGCCTACACCGGCGGGCGAGTCTCTCTGTAGGTCCCGGTGAGGCGCCGAGCACGGCCGGCAGCAGACGACGGGCGGGATGGGGCTGCGTCCTTCACTTACCGGTCTGGCGAGTCTTCGACGGTCCCTGTGGAGACTAAGGAGAGCGATTTGGCCTCCCCGGAATAAAAAGGCTCCGGAACAGGCGTCCATTTCTCCGCCCCTCACGTCCAGTCCATGAGTCGCCTCCAGACTAAGCAGCGGAGAGGCACATTAGGCTGCGGGCGAGGGCGCTCCCTGCGCAACGCGCCCCCGGCAGCCCCCATGGCCAATTGATGCGAGGAGGGAGAGGAGGGAAAAGTCGTTGCCAGGTCCCCAGTTCTCTGGAGCTGGGCTGCGCAAACGGAGTCCCGTGGCTAAATGAAAGGCTTGTACGAAGGAACACGATAGACCAGCAGGGTCTGAAGACGGGGCTGCCTGGCGCGCTGAGGCCGTTTTTGTACTTGCCAGGAGACATTAGTTTGCTCTAGAGCCATCCTTCCTGAGGTGAGACAAAAATGTGTGAGCCAGAGGCTAAAATACTGTGAGCTAGCTCACACTAACTCAGCTTAGAGGAAGCACTGGTTTACATCTACATTCCCTTTTCAGGATCTGGACCTACACTCCTCCTGGATTCTCAGGTACCAATTGTAGCCAGAAATACTTGTTACCCATCACAGGGTGTGGTTTTTGAGGGAGTGACCTGTAACTCACAAAATAATTGAGGAAGTGACCTATGACTCACATACTAAAATAATTGTTGTTAATATTGGGTTTCTGTTTTATTCGACTGTGACAAACTAACACAGCTGTCTCCTTGCAGTCTGAAGCACATTCTTCAGAAAGGAACACCCATTGAACACTGAAAAGTATTTTATATTTTGGAATTAATTAAATGTTTTCTAAATATAAGGTTTTATGCACTTTGAATATGTAGAATGAAAAACTCTAAGGACTTTTTTCAGTTGAAAAATTGGAAATGTAGGAGAACACTGAAATTAAAAATCTCCTATAAAAACTAAGGCATTTATACT